ACCATCCAATCCTTCCAGCAGGTTCCAGCACATGCCAAGGTATACCAGCTACTTCCATGTCATAAAGGCTTAGTCATGTCTCTTGACCAAGCAATGAGCTGGTGCCCTGACACTTCTGCACTTTGTGGCATTGCCAGGGTATTTGACAGTGGAGGTGGGCATAGATGGTGTAGCATGCCATTGAGGCAGTCCATATGTAACCCCAGATGGGGTTACACCAGGGCCTTTTGGAAAGCCATTTGTATGACCCCACTTAGATGAAGGAGGAGAAGGAAAGTTGGTGTCAGGAGGTGAGTCAGGGAAGCCAGTCAGTCCCTGGTGATGCAGAGTCTTCAGCTGTTGCTGGTCTGCTTCAGACATCTGGTGGGATATCCAGATGAACTGGTGCTTGCACCATTGGCACTGGGAGAACTTTAGAAACAATTTTACCATGCCAGAATTTTGTTAGGTGCACCTTGGTCCATAATGATCCCCAATGCAGCTCTGTGAAGGCAATCAATGGTTCCAGGTATTTTCCCCCACACTCAGCACAGTACCAATGCTTGACATCTTCTATTCCACAGTGCATCTGCTTTGGGTGTTCATGCCAGTATTGAAAGATGGCTTTGATGAGTTTTTTCTCAGCAGAAGGCATGCCAGATTAGGATCTGTCTGAGAGGTATGGATGTGAGGAAAGTCTTTTTGCAGGAACAGGAAAAAACCATTAGGGAACTGCATTATGTCAGCACGGCAGGGGTTGTGTGTGTAAGTCCGTTATTAACAGTGTTATTATTGATAACAGTGCTACCGGCTCTACTGGCTGTACCAACATTTTCCTTATGATTTCTCTCTTGCCCCTTATCTTCCATACTATCAATATAACATAATGTTTCTATACATGTGCTAGCTACTGTTCATTCTTGCCATCCTGAAAATAATCAAGTGGGAGCACATGTGGGTTCTTGTGCTGTTTCTTCAGTGTGCCAACAAAGAATCAGTTGCGCTCCTTGATCATTTCATCCAAGAAAAAATTGAAGCAAGTGGCATCAAGGTCATGAACCATTGCATCATAGCCTTTCAGCCAGACATTGCACTGCTCAGCTGCAGAAGAGTTGAAGACCCAGGACTTGGTAGTGACATTGTAGAGTGCTGGAAAGAGGAGCAGGTTACAGTGCTGTCCACAATAAGCATCATTCTCACTATGCTTTGACTTGAAGTGGAACATATTGACAGGTTGAACCATTCCAGTAAAATGCTGATCTCCTTGAGCTGCAAGGTGACAGTGTAAATGGCAGTTGTTGTCATAGAAGAGCACATCAGGGACCGAGGTTTTCATTGGAAAAACCACTTGTAGCATGTCCTGAGAGAGGAATTAGCAACTGGTAGAAGGTCAGATCATTTTTTTACAGCCACAGATGAGATTGCTTCACCACCAAAGAGAGTAACATGGGCAACAATAATTCCACATGGGCAGACAATCAGTTGTTCATTATGTGTCCATGACTGACCCAACTTTGAATGACCGGTTTCCAAAAGCACTCTTCTCATCACAAAGCTGTTGAGCTTCCTGAAGAAGTGGGAGAAGATGGTGGAAGTCCTCCATCCCTGGAGATTCAGTGGTGGGAATCATGATAATGTCATTAACCATGGTATCAATGGTATCTCTGGCATCATTGTTAACTATGGTAGGGGCCTGTGTACAAGTTGAAGGCTGAATGGTTGTGTGTGCGGCAAGGCAGTGGGTAAGGTGAAGCATTGATTTCCCCCTTTCTTCATACATAGTTTGAACATATAAGTGCTCAGGATCTGAACATGTGAGGCAGCCTTGTTGGACTGGCTGAAAACACCCCTGAATAGAGCAGATATTCTGCAACTCTTTATGTGTGTTGCAGAACCTAGCAGTGATAGCTGGAAGGTCTTCTGAGCAATTGTGGACTGAACAACAAGGATGTCCAATGGTAATACCATCTGTAATGGCAGCATGGCTGCCATGAGAACAGAATCAGTGAGAGGAGGAAGGTAGCTCACGGGTGGTGCCATTATCATCACCTAGGCAGAAACAACTATCACATATGTGACCCCATTGCTCTTAGCCAATGGTTGCAATGAACTGATTTTGGATTTTCATAGCTTCCTTCAACCTCTCCCTTTAAGTACCCCATTTCTTGCCAGCCAGTGGGTGTTCAGGCAAGATAAGAATGGTTCCTTGCACAGCATAATGTTGTAGGAGGCTGTTGAGGTAGATAGAGTCCCAGATATATGATCCACAGAGGACAGGAAAAGAAGAGAAGGAACTGTTCTGAGGTGGTTGCACAAGGGAACTCATGTAGATCTGACTCATTGCCTGCCCACTGATGCTGAAAAGGAATCACATACTGTGCTGGTAACAACATTAACAATGTTAAAATGGTAACAAGACAGTTTAATGGTTATGGAACCACAACCGTTGCATTAACATTGTTACCATAGTAATGATGTTAACACCGGTAACAAAACAGTTCAACAGTTATAGAACCACAACCATTGTGTTAACGCCGTTACTGTGTATAATGGTGTTACTGTCAGTGCCAGGAAATGTAAATGCAAAAGAAACTTACTGTGCATGAAGTGCCTGGCTTTTGAAAAAGGCAGCAAGAGCACCATCCACCAATACATGTGTTTCCACATGTAAAACCTCAGGACTTCCTGGGTAATAGTGCTGTACCTCTATTCCATTTGAGCCCTTTTGCCAATAATAGTTGAGGTAGTATGTCATGTGGCAGTCTGTGTGACAAGGAAATAAGTACATGACTGTTGTATGTTATTTGGAAGAATAACATACTCTGGCAGGATAAAGAGGACACATGGACAGGTATAACCCCATTGCGGAGGGTAAAGAGATGTGCCATATTGCAGCGTAGGTGGGTGAGTCATGGATTTGAGGGACAAGAGGCCTGAGTACAGTTCCTTGTTGGGGGGAAGAACTCTTCAACAGCTGGGGGTACAATGAGAGGTCTGCATCTGGAGATGAAGAGAAGACTGAACTGAAATTATGCAGTGGACCATGGTCTAGGGGATGAATAGGATCCACAAGGCAGGGAGTCAGGTGTATTCCAAGGTAGCCTCCTTGCCAGGTGAATGGGCCAAGAACTTGCCATAGTGTTTCAATGACAGATCCATGAACAGCAAAGACAGTGGCAAGAAAATCAATGACAGATTGTGGAAGGATGGCAGGTGCACAATCAATGTGAAGTGCACCTCCCCAAGTGATGATGGGTTGTAGATGTGGTACAAGTGCTTGGAACAGCCAGAGTTGTTCCAAAGACAGCATTCCAAGTACTGGAAGATTGCCTCAGATAGCTTGAACAAAATCTGTAACTAGCATATCTGAAATGAAAATAAGTAAAGCAGTGATAATGGTAATTTTGCACGGAGGAGCATTAACCACAGTAACAATGGTAACAGCAGTAACAAGAATCACCGTGGTAATGCTATTAACTTTGTGCAGTGAGAAGGCATATGTATTATTGTTTCCACACCCAGAAGTAAAGTAAATCATAGTTCCACTGTCCAGGGAAGCAACCCAAATAAAGCTCCCACCAGCCATTTTTTGCCCCCACTGGACATTTTCTGCTCCCACCAGCCATTTTTCACTTCCACCGGCCATTTTTTGCTTCCACCAGCCAAAAATAGCCCCCACCAGCCATATTTTGCATCCTCCAGCCATATTTTTGGCCAATTCAGACAAATCCTGATGCACCTGAACCTCTTGGCTGCAAGAGTGCAGCTTGGTTCTTTAGAGCAAAAGTCAAAACAAAATGCATGGCAAAGTGGCAAGCAAGATGTTAGGGACATCTCAGTTGAGAGGATATTCCTAAGTTGTCAGACATGCTTAAATTCCACCAGTCTCTGGTTATATGTGTGCCCACAACCTTCAACTCCTGCAGATTCCACACTCCCATAATCACTGTCATTCACTGTATACAAACATTTGTACGTCTCCCTATTCTTTTATAATCCACACTGAAGATGCATCACAGACAGCACTATGCTCTATCTCATGATGGTTTCCTTGTGTTCTGTCTTGCCAGTTGTCTTGAACCCCATACCACTACCCACAAGAATGATAATGTTGACCACTGTTTTTGCCTCTATACAAAATCCCCGCCACAATACCTCAAACACCACAGAATCTCTATATAAAATCCCTGCCACAATACCTCAAACACCACAGAATCCTCCATATTGTGAACAAGCACAATTATCAATGAGTGCTGTGTTGGTTACAAAAGATTGAGGGCAAGGAGAGGAGAGGCTGCAAGGAAGTAGAGGATGGTGGTGGCCTGAGCACAGGCAAGGATTGCTGAAGGATGTGAAGCTTTGGGGCTGTCTAAGGAATCTGAACAGGACGACTGCATTCAAGGTTGCATTGCATACAAATGCAAAGGGTTTGTTTTGTTGACTTGTTATTGATTTTGTCCTGACCCTACAATAGGTGCTTCACAAGAGGTATGCTGTCTGTGTGTCACCCCAATTTGGACAGCACCACCTGACATTTCCACCCATGTGTTCTGGCTTCCTTTCCTCCTGCTCACAGCAAAGTATAACATGTGACTGTTTCTGTTAGGGCAACACAGGCTGACTAAGTCTGCTCACCTAAGAGTGCCAAGAGTCTAAGCAGGCAACAAGGAAGTGGA